GATGACCCCAACTAACAATATGAGCAAGAGTGGAAAGTATACCTTAAATGTTAAATGCCCTTCCCTGATAATGAGATTGATAGCTAACCTATAATTCATCATAGAGCTCTTATCTAGTAGCAGATGGAAACAGAAGCAGACACCCACAGCTAAACACTGAGTTGAACTCATGGAATCCGGTTGCAGAGAGGGAGGAGTGATGAGCAAAGGTGTCAAAACCAGGCTACAGAAACCCACAGAGACAGCTGATCTGAACAAGGAGGAGCTCATGGACCCCCAGCTGGGAATCTAGCATGGGACTGACTCAGACCCCCTGAACCTGGGTCTCAGTCAGAAGACCTGGGCAGTCTAAGGAACCTCTAACAGTGGAACCAGGATGTATCCCTGGTACATGAATGGACTTTGGGAACATTCCCCATGGAGGGATACTCCCCTAGCCTAGACGCAGGAGGGGGGCTTGACAGATTTTGATGATCCCTCCTAGAAGGCATCACCCTTCCTGTGGAGTGGGGGGGGTCAGAATGGGATGGGAGGAGAGTTAGCAGTTGTAGGAGGGAGGGAGTTAGGAAAGGAGGGTTGGGGAACTGGAATGAATATATATATATATATATATATATATATATATATATATATATATATATGTATGTATATGAAACTATGGGATCCTGAGAAGCACAGAAGTGACAGAATCAGAAAATAAATAATCTGCTATGACCCAGTCCATAGAGACTGAGTGCTCTACTATGTCGCTGTGAATAATGCATTGCAATGCTCAAATATGGTGATGAAAAAAAATAAAAAAAACCTTGAATCTCCAGTCCTTCCTACTCAGAATGAACTTGATGACTAGAAACACTTTAAAACCCTATGAATAATATGTTTGCTATCAGAGTCCAATCTAAACCTTTCAATCCATTGTACTTCCCACTTGAATCAGGGTATAAGCTATATTTTTTTTAGGATCATGTCATGGATTTCCATGTACTTTTTTATTCTAAATTTGGCATTTTTATGGAAAACAAAGTGGTCTCTGGATTGAACCATCTTTGTTTTGTCATAGTTAAAATTTTACATTTTACAATCTAACTGGACTGCTATTTTTGCAACCAAGGAACTATGCAAAACTACAAAGGTAGAAACTACTTTCCTCTTAGTGGATTTCCATGACTTGAAAGACATGCTGTGGATGAGAACTTTCATGTTCTAAAACTCTTGTAATTATGATTAAATACAATGGCCTATAATATCACTGAGTACAAAATGCTGGCCTTTTTATTATTATTTAAATTCATGAGGTAAAAGAATTTCTTTTCATTATACATAAACAAATCACTCTACTGTTTCAAAGCCACCTGGCATTTCTATCATATCTTAAAAAAGATTAAGTATATTTCAGAGGTCTAAAAAAGAATTAGTTCCAGGACTAAATGATTCCTATTTGTTTCATTAAGAAATTTCTTGAAGAAATCAAATATGAGTAAATATGTATCACTATTTTCTATTAGCAGCATTTTGGCTATTGTGAGCGAATACAAAACTACTATATTCTAAGAAATAGGCTTAAGACCTTCATAGAGCCAAAGCTATTCAAATAAAAACAAGGATATAGGCACAAAGTCTGTGGGAAATACAGTCTCACTTCATGCTCTGATATTGAGGAACATTCCCAGAGGAATGTTTTTGGATGGAGACTCAGCATTGCAGTAAGAAAAGAATATTATTCCTCCAGCTGACAGACATCACTGTTACCCAAGTCTCAGGTCTCAAATGTCTAAAGTAGCTTCTTTAAAGACATTATAATGATGTGAAAATACTGTCTTCCCAAGAGCAAGAAATACAACTCATTATAAGAAATCTATGATTCCATTCACTCACAGCTTCTAAATAAGAGAATGTAATATTTAATATCAACTATCATCTTGACCATACCCTGGGTGTGTCACTGAAAGATTATCATCATTAACTCGAGGTGGAAAGACCCAGTCTAAAAGTGGGTGACACTATTCCCTGTGCAGGTCTTGGTTAGCATATAAAGAAGGAAGTCAGCTAAGCACAAGCATTTATTGTTCACTTCTTCTGTTGATGCAATATTCCCAGTAGCTCTGTGCTCCTTTCCCCCAACTTTGACTACTTCTGGTACATTAATCCAGAATAAACCCTCCCAACCTTCAGTTGTTCTAGTTGGGTATTTTGTCAGCAACAAGGTATATGTAACCAATACATAGCAATGTCTAATCAGTGACTGGCACCGGCCAGTCTGTATCACTCTGATGATGGAGCCAACGTATATGATATAAGACAGTAAGTCTGAGTAAGCTCATCTATTCTGAAAACTGAATATTTTTCCATTAGGTGATTGAGGTCTAGTCTCTGGGAAAGGGAATATAGGCTAGGAGTAACTACTAGCCATTTTTGGTATCCTATCCAAAGCACTAACCCCTAGCCAGCTTGTTAATAACAAAACTGATGTTTGAATACTGTTTACAAGCTCAAGACAAGAAACAAAAATCAATTACTCAGTATTAAAATGCTTAAGGCATTGATGTTCTATCTATCTTTCTTTGATCCAGTTTCTCTACTAAAAAATGAGAGTCTAGTAAAGAAGGGGCAGAGATCATATGAATAGTTCTAAAAAATATCAGGTCCTTTTGTATACTGAACACTTACAACAAAAGAAATAGATATTTCTTACTCTGATACTTTCTCTATCCAGTGGTAACATGTCTACAATCAGTACCCACTTTTGTGGGTGATTTGATCAAAGAAAATATCAAACTTTATTTAAAGTATTCCATCTGAATATAAAGTCACGAAAACAACAACCAGTGAAGACAGCCATGATATATATGTTAACCTAAAATTAAATTAAGTTAAAACACAAAAGATCTTTCACTTTAGCTATAAAGAAGAAACAGGCAATGATTTTACAGTTGCATGAACTAAACATAATCAGCCTCTGCACAAATGAACACTGATACAAGAGAAATTTTTCACATTTTATGTTTATCTCAAAATGCAATTTAACACTGCCATATAACATTACATTTTTTCCCACTTGTTTAAATACCTGAATATGCTTTCCTAAGCAGGATCAATGGAGAACTGGAATGAAATACAGCTTACACTTTAACACATTCATTATTCAGCATTGGATGTTTCTGTTCATTGGTTGCTAATAAATATATGAGGTGGATTCTAATGACTCTATTTGGATAGTTAGATAGAATAAAAGGCTCTTTGGAAGAAAGAGTTTTAAAATCTCTGCTCCAAGTTTTCCTTAGTCAAACATGGGAGAAAGTCATTATCTAAGAAAATAGGTGGTCTCAATATAGCTTCCAGTTACTCTTCAAATTCTGCCTGATATAAAGGATTACCTACAGCTATCTCTGGCTTCTGAAAATGGTGACATCAGAAAGTCTGGAAATTATTAGACTTAATACTAATATTTCCTAATCTTTCCAGGACCACACCCTCACTTCTCTGTGTATTCTTGACAGGAGGAGAGAACTAATGAGGCTAAGTGCAGAGAAATTGCCATGAAAGACTCTTCATGTGCTACTTAAGCAATAACAACACTGAACGAATATTGGAGAGATTAATGGACTTCCTTTTCATTTTTCAATAAACCAGAGAATTAAGAGAAAATTCAACAACATCTTTAAGTTCTCTATGCTATGAACACATTACAGTCAGTAACACTTGGCATTTGTACAGATCACTATGTTTGTTTGTTTGCTTGTTTGTTCGTTCGTTTGTTTTCCCCGATAGGGTTTCTCTGTGTAACAGCCCTGGCTGTCCTAGAACTCACTTTGTAGACCAGACTGGCCTCTGCCTCCCTAGTACTGTGATTAACAGTGTGCACCTGGCCAGATCACTATTTAATTTTATTTTTAAATCAATTAATCCTACTAGGGTAGATACTAGATAGAACACTTTTGAGATGAAAAATGGTCCACAATTCTCACCTAAGGAAAACTAACCTTGCCTTATACTGGCATGTTAACTGCAGAACAAGCAAAGCTCCCTCCCTGGGGACTTACACTGGAAACCTGGCACACAGAGACTGAAATGCTAACTTCCTTCTCCTTCGTGTTTTCCCATAGAATGTTCTGCCAAACCATTTGGGCCGAAAGATATGGGGGAAGAAGAGATCTGCATGGGTTGTCTGTGTTGCTATCTTGTAGTCATCATTAAATTTGGATCCAATTGTAAATGCTTAGAGGTTTAATATGCTTCACGGAGGACTGCAAGGAAGATAATACATGAAAGGCCTTCCTGTAATGAGTTGCAACTTCCAAAGGAAGTTCATTAAGTTCAGTGGAAGGCACTATACCACAGAGCCCCTTCTCCCAGTCATCCACACAGACAGCACCATAGACTGGGTTCAGGGGTTCAAAGATCATCGGGAAGAGTAACCCCATTTCACCACCAGCACTAACCAATAAAGCAACTGTTCTCTGCAAATGTTTTAATTTCAGAGATTGTTCCTACAAAAGGGAAACAAACAAGAGAGAATAAACAGGAGTTAAAACGCAGAAGGAGGCCTGAGCAGGATTTGTAGTTGAGAGTTAGGCAGCTTCGGAAAGGCCCCTCGAATTAATGGACAGAACAGGGAGCAAATCCCCAGCCTAGGGTTAGTCTGAGAGGGAGCAAGGGGGGCAGAATGGGTGGGACCGAGAGTTTCAGGACTAAGAGCCCCAGGACACGCTGGCAGGGCGCACCCCACGTTGCTTGGTAACCGAGGCAGCCACGCCCACCCCGCCCCATCTCTCCGGGCGCCAGAGGCACAGACCCATGGAAAAGGAGGCCGCCCTAATGGGCTCGGAGCCCGGCTCCCCTGGAGGAGCCTTCCAACGCCCAGGCCCCGCGCCTGGGGCCGCCCCCGGGCCGGATCTACAGTCTCCACAGTGCTGGGAGACGCCAGCGAAGCGTGCTTCCAGCCCTGCACCCGCGTCCTGCGCACTGTGACCCCGAACCCCCAACCCTCGCCGGAAACACACCTCAGCGTAGCACAGCCAGGGCGGCCCAACTGCGGGTCCGGCCGGGTGGGCAGCTGTCCACGCTGCTGTCACTCAGAGGCAGGGGCGGGACGAGAAGCTGCACACCCCTACTCCAGCAGGACCATAGGAGGAGGGGCGGGGCCACCCCTCACTCTGTGCTCTGATTGGCTGGGCCTTCCCTGTGCCAGCCTGCAGGACTGCGAGAGCCCTTAGGCCCATCCGTTTTCTATACCAGAAAACTAGTACTTCTGGCATGCTCATGTTAACCGTCATGAATCTGACTTTACTCCACAAACATAAAGGAAAAGCAAAAGTTATTTTAATGAGTTACGTTCAAACACACTCAAATTCAGCCAGGGGAACACCCTTAGGAAAACTTTCTAACAGTGATAACATGTTGATAGGAGATTCAAGGAACTGGAGGTGTGGTGAGTTTAAAAACCATGAATTAAAGGAAGGAAAATCCTTATTTAAATTTTAAACTTTTAACAAGAGAATCGGTTTAGGAAAAAGAATTGCGGAAATATGACCAATGACTACTATTACAGTCTGTTTCAGGAACGTTTGCACATCTGTAAAAAGGGAACAAACAGTACTGATGTATATACCATTTGGAAAGTATTTGACAAGCGACTGGTCAATAAATTATGCTTTTAACAATACTGACAAAACCTCCACGGTGTATGAAACCCAGACTAGAAGTGGTCATTGAATAAACCTAAGGGTCAGCACTGACTCTCTTTATACTGATGTAAACTAAATGTTAAATCCAGACTGTAGGCATCAGAAGGGATGAAGGACACCAGGGAAGAATGACCTGCCAAAACTACTAAGCAAGGCTCACATGGGCTGCCAGTGACTGAGGTGGTACAGGGCCTGAACAGGTAGGTCTGTACCCAGTCCTCTGCTTCTGTGTTATGGCTGTTAGCTTGGTGCATCTGTGCAGCACCTAACAATGGGAGAGGATGTATCTCTGACTCTGTACCTGTTCTTTAGATTCTTTTCCTCCTATTGGGTTGTCTTGTCCAGCCTCATTATGAAGGATTTTGCTTTATTTTATTGTATCTCTTTTTGTCCAGTTTGGCTATTCCCTCTTAGAGGCTTGAAGAGGAAATGTAGGATGGGGGGAGGAGTGTGTGGATCCAGTAACAGTGGAGAGAGAGAGGAAACTGGCTGGGATGTATTGTATGAGAGAGAATCTATCTTTAATTCAAACCGAAAAATACAAAATAATAAAAATAAATAAATAAATCCCTTTCAATTATAATTTTTGTTACAAAAGTTTGTTACCCTCCTCTAGATACCCCATCACTTCCTCTGTAAGAGACAAAATATCATACAGAAAGAATGTAGAAACATTATTGAGGAATAAAGTCAAAATGTGTTTTTATTTTCTGTATCTCTAAATTATTTTCCTGTATTCAGTCTCTTTAAAATGAAGCAAAGGTAAAATTAAATGAGATTATATTAATGTAATTAATCAGGCTTGTATATGTATTTTTCTCAGGGAGGGAGTTAAAATGATGAAACCTTCTATTCATCATTTATTAAATCAAAAACAACAAATATGTATTTTGTCAGCTATGATAGTAGAAATAAAAACCAATACCTCAAGATACATGCTTCATTTTTCAAATGAAATGCACAGCACTTTGTGATAAAATTGTTCCAATAAAAGGAACACATTCCAATTGCAAATGATTTTAATTTTTTTTATCTTGCTGCACTTTCAGCCTTCTGAAAGTTTGAACTGTGAATAATTCTACCCAGAACTTTCTTGATGTGTGTAACGTATGCTCCTGTTTAAGTTCTTTAATCTTTTAAAACATTTTAGTCTGAAAGAGTTATGATTGTATATTAATAAGTACACTATATAAATAAATGCTGTTAGCTTTAAATAAATGTGGAGAATGTCTTTGAGTCATTTTTCAAATGCATATTCAAATAGAGAAAATGCTTTTGTTTGAATTTCTCGCATGCATAAAATACACATTTAAGTAAATGTATTGTATGCATGTAAATGTGTTATCTTTGACATAAACACAGCTGTATATTCCACATATGTATAGCTGCAGATGTTGGAGGCATTTATTCTGATTGCTGGAACTATGCACCTTTTTATTTAGTCACACATCCAGGAGAAAACACTATGCTCCATATGCAAAGAACAGAGAATAGCAAGTCTCTGCCACTGAATTTCTAACTGTGGATATCCTTATGAGATGGGTTTGGTAATGTAACGTTACTTATTTTGTAAGCATTTACAAATGAAGTATGAAGTGGCACTGGTCACTTTGCAATATATAGTAACTACAGTGAAGTAGACTTCCTCCAATCTTTAAAACAAATTAAGCTAAAAAAAAAAAAAAGAAAAGAAAAGAAAAAGGCTCCAAATAACTAAATGCTTCCTACATTCGTAATAGAAGAATTTGAGGCTCTCTAGATCATATTTTACATTTGATATCTCTGCTCCAACATGTGTAATTCTTACATAGATACAAGATATATTAAAAGAACACACACATATACAGAAGACCTAATAAACTGACCAAGTACCAAATAAATAGATAAATATAGTTTAGAGACAGACAATAAATAATTGAATGGCAGGGTGGTGGTACATGTTCATGTTCCCAGCAAATGGGAAGCTGAGGCAGAATTGCTGTAATTTCTAGGTCAGGGTCATAGATAGTGTTCTATTCCGGAGACACTATGACCATTGAACCTCTCTCATAAATAAAGTGTTTAATTGTGACTAGCTTACAGTTTCATAAGCTTAATCCACTGCCATCCTTTTGGAGAACATGGCAGCATCTAGGCAGGCATGCCTGGAAAGGTAACATAGAGCGTTACATCCTGATCCTCATGTAGCAGAGGGAATGAGGGTGAAGACAGTAAGACTGGGTGACTGGGTCTGGCCCTGGCATGGGCATTTGAGATATCAAAGCTCATCCCAAGTCACACATTTCCTAATCCTTCATCAAATGCTTAGCTCTGACTAAGCATACAAATATATAAGTCTATAAAGGCCAATGTCATTCATTCTAGCATTGGTTAGATAGTGAATATCAGATCAGTACAGACTATATAACAAGACTTTGTCTCAGAAACCCAAACATTAAAACATCCTTATGTACATTATAAAATGCTCTTTATTTCTTATAATATTATCTGCTGTGAAGCAACATTTCTTATATGAATATAATTATGTCTAGGTTCCTTATTTTGTTCCTATGTTCTTTTTTGAGATAGGTTCCCACACTATACCCCAGATTGACCTGGAAATCACTATGTACTCTAAGTTGGGTTGAATCATGGAGATCTCCCTGCCTCAACCTCAAAAAGAACCGAGATTATGAGCCAGCACACCAAGAATTTCTTTCTTTTGAATACCATTAACATATTAACATTATTTAAAATTTCAGGTTTTACTTTAACCAACCTGTGTCTACATATCTTAAAGTGTTTTAGATAACTTATTGCTTGAGCCTTCTTTCAGTCTAATTTGATATTACATGTCCCATGATTATAAAGTATGCCTTTTTCATTAATACCATTACTGATATTGCTTGGGTTCTGTGTGCTTTTTTGCTATTATTTTTTCCTCTAGGCTCATTGTATAATTGTTCCCCTTTGTTTGTGTTCTATTTGAGAAAATTTTTATGACTCAAATTTATTTCCTTATTATTTTAACATCAAAACTTTAATGTTGCCACATGGCCAAGTCTTTACATTTAACTTACCACCATCTAAGTAAGTAAGAAATTATATATATATATATATATATATAATTTCATACATAAGGAAACAGTCTTCACACACTCCATGGTATATCTTTTCAGCCTGCATTGTCATGCATTTTACATCTAGTAGATATCCCATCATTGAATAATGAATGTGGTTATTGAGGGGGTGAGGTCCTCTCAAAAAGAAATATTTAAAACCTTGAAAAAGAATATTGTATATTCTCCCAAATATTTATTATTTCCAGTTCCTGTTACTTCTTTGTGAAACTACCTATTACATCATGAAATATTATTTTAATTTCATTTAACAAACTTTGAATTTCATTTAACATTAAATATTGTGTCTGTGTCCGTCTAGTAGCAGTGAACTTTTTAACCTTTTTGTATGTTCTAATAAGTTATTATTTTAACCTTTAGCTCTCAGACTTATTACTGTTGGACATAAAATCCAGATGTCAGTTTTTATCACTGTGTTAAGACAACATCCAAATTCCTTCTCTGCATTGCAAATTTCTAACAATATATCTGCTGATCTGTAACTACTGAAGTTTTCTTCTCTGTATCTTTCTGATTTTTCCCTTTAATGGCCACTTCAACTTGTTCACATCAAGGAACCATGTCATTTTTCTTCGTTTTGTGTCTCTGGTCTGTTTCATTTCTTACACAGATTTACAATTTCATCAAATTTAAAAATATTTCACTCATGGCTTTAAATATATTTTCCTGGTACTTTTTTCCTTTGGGGATGCCAATGATTTCTTATTTTCTACTTACCTCAATAGGTTTTGACAGTCTCTATCATTTTATATTCAAATTCAGGGCTCTTTATCTCATCCAATGGATTTTCCATGCTATACATTGTTTATTGTTCTTTTTTGCAGTCGTAAGTTTAAAGTAGCAGTTTTTAAATGCCATAATTTATTTCCTTATCATTTACATCCTGTTCTCTAATTTCTGACCATTAGGGATGTGTTCATGATGACTGTTTATCCTGTTTGCCTAATACTCCATCATCTGTGTTTCTTCTGGATTTGTTAAAATTTTAATAGCATATATTAAGTGTAGAAAGCCATGAATTGCATTACAACATTTCCACATTTTAGCATAATGTACTTTGATGGTATCCCATTGAGTTCAGTTAGTGCTGAAGATTGAAAAATATGTATGGGATCTTCTGCTAGAGCATGAGGGTCCTACCAGGCAGTACATCCTCAAGAAAATTATCTCCCTCCCTGAACAGCCACTATCTTCCTTTGTTTTCTCAGCTAGAGGATGGGCCTCTGACCTCTGCCTCTATCCATGCTGGTATTTTGAGTGCCTCCATTTTGTGCAGGTCTTTGCTGCTAGAAATGCAGAAGACAGAATTCCATAGCACTCCTGAACATCTTC